TCCTCCCCGCTTCCCACTGATCCTTGATTGGAACTTTACTTTTCTCAAATTGAGCCTTTGTTGTAGAGGAGTGACTAATATTCTGCTGAGTTCTCAGATGGATCTATGCTTTTTAAAATTGAATAAAGACAACACAGATAATATATACATGGGTGGGTTGGTTTTTTTAGAAAAAAAAAAGAAAGTATGATAGAAATAAGCCCACAGAATGAAATACAGAATATCAATCCGGATTTAAAAAAAAGAAGGAAGAAGAAAGTAGCATCTTATTAATTATAGAATCACAGAATCATAGGGCAGTTTGGTTTGAAAGGAACCTTAAAGATCATCCAGTTCCAATCCCCCCTGCCACAGGCAGGGACACCTTCCACTAGACCAGGTTCCTCCAAGCCCCATCCAAACTGGCCTTGAACACTTCCAGGGATGTGGCATAATAACTAAGTGTGCAGATATATACAGCTGTGTTCACCTATAAGCAGCTATCTAATGTAATAACGTAGATGCATTAACAGTATGCTGTTACTTTTATTTCAAGATGCCACCCATCAAGTTGAATATTCAATGAAAGAGTAACTGGTAATTGTAAAAAGTCTAGTTAAAGTATGATACACACAGCCACACCTGTCACTGATGTTAATTAGTTCTGTTATGTCTTTACAATTGATGTCCAGCAACCTCTGTCCAATAGTTACTACACAGAATCTGCAGCATTTTTCATGAGCTCCTTGTAAATAAAATGTTTAGTCTGTGTATATAGCCTCTACTGCTACTAAAGGTGGTTTTGCCAATAGTCTGTGGGCTTGATCCAGAAAAATTGTCCATCACTATGGAACTTTGACTTCTTTGCTTTTAGAAGTCCTAAGTAGGTGCTTTTGTCTTGGGATCCTTTATGGGGGTGCAGAAAAGCTCTTTTTTAGGAAGTTAATATTCAAATTTTCCATGATGGTTTTGTTTAAAACAGTATGATCTGTGTGGGTCAGACAGAGAATTTAGGACATACATATCTCTTTTATTTCTGGTATAGATTATGTTTTTCCAATACAGCCCAATTTTTGAAGGAACGTGTTATATTTAATGTATAAACACCACCAAATTAATATTTTTGTTTTGGGGAAGCTAATTTTAAAAGATTTAATTCTCCACTGTTGAACATACCTGCTTTCACTTTAACATGAGGTTAGTGATCAGTTGCCTGTATTGACAGAGGAATCTTAGTTTGAAGAATGCAAAATTAAGTTAAAGGTATGTAGAAAGCACTTTTCTTCTGTGCTGGAGAAAATGACAATAAGGGACTTACTTAAAATGCAGTAAGACAGGTTCATCTTAAATGGCAGGAAAGCTTTTTTGAAAGTGAGTGTAATGGAACACTGGAATATAAAATATGGAAAAGGTTGTCTTGAAGAAATTAAATAAACTTCCATCAGGTGTAGAGTTGGTGCTGCTTGTAGCAAAGAGAAGCACGATATGGTTTCTCACCATAGGAAAATTATTTCTACTTATTCCCCCCAATGTTTTGTATCAGAGGGTATGAATTAGATTGTATTTGAGATCAAAAGTTAAAATGGTCTGCTTGAGGTTTTTTTTCTAAGAAAATAGTATGGCTGTGTGTAACTGACGGACAGTAGAGCCCTATTTCTCTGTGCCAGTGATATGTCAGAAATGGTTTTGACTCTCTACATCAGTCATGCCATTTAGAATGGTCAGAGTAGTTACTGGTTTTTAAGATGCTGCTTTGACAGTAAAAGTCGTGATGGCCCACATATACCAGCAGAAAAATTACTTTCAGTGGTATATATGAATATGGCATATATAAATCTTGTTAGTTACACTAACACAAATATTAAACAATAATAACAAAAAAGACATTCCTTTTGTCCTACTATAAGCTTCTTCATTTGAGCAAGGAAAGTTCCATATAACTTGACTGGCAAACTGACCTTGCCCTGGCACAGGCCTGCTAAAGTATTTTTGTAAATGGAACAGTTTGGTACACAACTTAATCCCTCATATATTTCTCTTTGGCACAGTATACACTAGGATACTCAAAACCATCCAGCTCCTACTAATACAGCTGTACATTTGCACCATGCCTGCCTCATCCTCCCTGCACCCATTTATTCCAAGCTGTTTTTTTCAGAATGTTTGTGTTTGTGTTGTGGAAAGTCCTATGGTGATCTGCAAGGCATATGTTAGTTTGTAACAGTCATACATGTCCTCTAATGCCATTGAAAATGTTTTTGCAGCTACTACTTCCTATAGTATGGGGTTTTTTAGTTGTGCTTTTCAGTCTGTTGTCTTTTTTTTCCTTTTTAAATTGGGTTCCATTTCTTTAGAAGAGAGAAATTGGTTTGCAATACCCGGCCTTCAGTCAGGAAAGCAAGAAGGCATGAGACCCAAGTGCAATATCGGAACTGATTCAGCAGTGGTTTCTCAGCATAACAGCATCTTCCCCAGATTGATTTAAGATTGCAGCCAGTGGTAGTTACTTAATAATAAGAAATGTGGCTTTTATTTACCTTCTAAGTTTCTTATGTTGCAAACATTTATTGTGTGTATTATCATTTAGCACAAGAGCAGTTGTGTAGATTGGTACTGCTTGTATGCTTTGGTCCTGAGAGGTGGGTTAGTGGAGATCTGAGCAAAAAAAACCTGAGAAGCACAGCCCAGAGATTAGTACATGTACAACAGGGTCAGCATATTTGCAAAATGCAGCCATGTGGCTGTGTTTGATTTGTTCTGCGGTGCTTGCTGTACCGGGCAGCAAAACATTTCAAAGATCTTCAGGATGTTTGCTATTCAGCTGGTCACTACCTCCTAAACAAGGTACAAAGATGAATAGTTACCTGCTACCTACTCATAAATATATAACAAAGAAATTGGAACCGTCACTTGAGCCAGTTAAGACCTGTCCTGATTTCATGTTGATTATCCTAAGCTTTTTTAGTGAGTCTGAAGTACTAGGTGCTTCTATTGCATGCTGTTAACAGTTGTGTTGAATATCACCATTTACATTTAAAATAATGTATGGTAAAAAATAACTGTTTGCATTAGTATGCAACGCATTGTGTTTCCAGTTCTTTCAACCAAGGAAGAGGTTACTGCATGTTTGTCTGCGTTGTACTATGGCTCATGGTCATTCAACATTCAGTGAAAGAGAGCATGTTCTCAAAATTCATACTGCATGACCTACTTAATTCTATCAAATACTGTTCAATATTTGTAGGGGATATCAGCATATTAAGGGCTTTGACTGAGTGCACTGATGCATTAACATTTTCTTTATCTCTTGCTTTGGAGAGAAAAAAAAAACCAAACTACTAACAACTTATTTGCTCTTGAAACTTTTGAAAATTCTGCCTAACTGCTCAAGTGATGCTAACCTTGAAGCCTTTGTTATTTGCATGTTCCATAAATCAAACCCTTTTCCTTATTACATGGACTGGAAAGATGCCTCAGAAAGTGAAATACTGGATAGTCATGCAGAGTTTATGTAAACATTTTGCTGTTTGTAAATTAACAGTATATTTTGATTTTGTAAATTGTTTTACATACACTTGTACTATTGCAACTACATAACACTCCAACAAAATAAGCAACACCAGTCTATAGGTATAGCATATGTCATTCTAAATTAAATGAGCTTTTTCAATAAAAAGAAATCATGTAAGACACCAGTTTTCATTCACAGTTCAGGTCCTTTTTGTTAGATTTAATTATACATCATAATCTCCTGGCATGTACTTCAGTGATACAGAGAAATGAACAGAAGAGGAAGCTTGCTACATACACTTTCAATATATATTTTTATATGGAAAAAAAACAACCTAGCCCAGTACTTCTCCACAAATGTGTGTAGTCTAGTTGTAGCTAATTAATTTACCTGTACTCTCATTGCATTCCAGAAAAGGGTCACTCTGTGCCTCAGAATTTTTCTCATAATTCATAGTCCTACATTTTTACCGAGAATGCATTTTTCAGTGCAGAGAGTCAGGAGAGATGGGCTTAACAAAATACTAGCCAGTAGCTGACAGAGAATGACTATCATATGGTCTTTGAAAAGCTCTTCTGGTTTGGAATTATGGTTTTCTATCTGAATGACAGGCTTTTACATAGTCTAGCATTTGAGAACATTTGAAAACTTAATGGCACACTCTGTAAAAGGTTTATATCAATCTAAATTCTGCATCTTTGGACATACATTCTCTTTGTTTTAGCTGTAATATTTTGCAGTAAGCAGCCATAAGAATCCCCTGTACTTGGGGATTAGAAAACTGCTAGAAAAAAAAATTAAATTACACACTTTCATTACTTTTTGGGGTATTTTTCCAGTCCCAAATCCCATATATTCAATTTTATCACAAACTAAATATCCTATTTTTTTCCTGTTTTATTGAACGGGCAAACAGGGGTAGATGGTCCCCCTCCCTAGAGAGGAGACGACCTACTAGTCCCAGGATTCATATCCAGCATGCATCTCCGGAGGATGACAGGTACCAGTCAACTCCTCCCAGTTAAAAAGTGGCTTACAGCATCTTGCACTCTCAGAGGAGTATACTGAAACTTAAAAGTATGCATATAAGTAGAGACTTACAACATCCAGAAGCCCAAAATAAAACAGCAGCTTTGATATCATCTCTGCATTTTGTTAAACTGTTATAAAGCACCTGGGAATTACTGTCTTTTTAAGTTTTCTGTTTGCCTGGATGGTCACAAGCCATGAAATAAGATGTCTAATACAAAAGAACATCATCCATGTTAATGTTCTTTAGTCTGCTTCTGTAAATGTTCTTGGTGGTCTCACTGTGGTGCTTTATAATATGTTAAATATTTGTTGTAGAGCCTATTCTTGTCTAGGTGTTTAAGTTGATTTTTATTGGTTTATTTTCCTTTTTTTAATAAACTGTTCCTATGGGGGAAAGGAAAACACGCACAAACTGTTATGTTGGAAGTCTTGGTAACGCTTGCTAGTTGATGTATGTAAAAATTGGCACTGTTTGTAAATTCTGTCGAAATCAGGATGGTCTCCATGGATCAGGTTTTCCTAACAAGGTAGGTTTTGGTTAAAAATACCAGGGTTTTAAATCAGCTTTCATGCTGAATACCACCAGAGATTAATAGAAGGACCTTTGGTTTTTTCTTGTAATGAACTTTCTGCTCAGTTTTGGTATTTCATTGCTCTGGCAGCAGTAATTTTTTGGGGTTGTTTTTTTTTGTTTGGTTGGTTGGTTGGATTTTGCTTGGTTTTGTTTTTCAGATAGATCATTGTTTTTTTAAGCAGACATAATTTCTATTGAGATGCAAAGTCAAAATTTTCTCTTCAAATTCTTTGTGTTACAGTAAATGACAGGATACAGATGGTTCATGTAAATAATCCATATGTGTGTAAGCTCTTAGGAAGTTGCACTTAAAACTGAAAGACTGTTACATGGATAAAACTCAGTCACTATAGTACTAGTGCTTACCTTCTGCTAAAGTCTATCCACAGTACTTGTATTGTAATTTGTCTTGTTTGCTTGGTACTGGACATATTCCACTAATACAAGGATAGCTTTTGTTTTTTTTTCATCTGAGTAAGGCAGCATTGTAAGTTATAAAATAAAATTTCTGAAACATTATTTCAGTGTTGTCACCACTTACAGATACTGCATATCTAGAAATTTTGCCAGCACATCCCATTGCTGGGACAGCCAAAATTTAAAAATGTTTAAAATTGTACTTTTTTTTCTAATTGTACTAGTTTAAAAATGTACTTTGTGTCTTTCAAGAATTTTTAAGTAATTTCACTTCCCATTTTTTATGTCAATGGAAAGACTGTCTGACTTCAGTGGATCAGACTTGATAAAATCTTGTCATTGAAGTGATTAGAATTAGATCATCATAATATCATATATCAGTGAAATAAGGTGTTCATCTGAACAATGCCACTCAGTGCAGAATTGTAAGCATTTTAGTGTCACCTGGAATTTTGTGGAGAAAGACTGAAAGTATCTAATACCTGTTAGCAAACATATTGCAGTAAAGAATCTGTAAGATACAGAATCTGTCATGGGAAAAATACTGAGTTGGAGAAAAAGCAGCCTAATTTTCTTTCTTAGTGAAATCATTGCCTTCTTCTGCTTGAAGGTCTTGCAGGTAATCTGGTCACCAAATCCCAGTGATGCATCCAGTGATGAACCTAGAATGATTTTAGGCTAACCACAATCCTGATTGATTGCTGGTTGCAGCCTCCTAGTTCCAGGATCTTTCTCTCAGATTAAGAGAGGTTTGGAGGATGCTGGGCTTTTTGCATTGCATGCCCAATACAAAATAATAGCCCACCTTGTCTGTAGAGGGAATCAAAGCTGTTTTGCCTTTGTTTTCTACTCTTTGAGTTTATATTCATTCTGATTATTTCCTATAGCTTTGACAGTTAGCTAACACCACTCAGTTCTATAATTTACTTCTTTAATGATGTGCTTGTATCAATTTCATAACTGATGTAATGGGTATTGGAATGAGTGTCTGATGGATCAGCAGTGGTAACTAACTACTGCCGTCACTGCTTTTGAATCATATTTTCACAGATAAATTGGCAGATGCCATCTTACTCTTCATTTGAGTATATGTTCCAGATTTATCTTACAAATTGGCCCAATTTGGATATAGGATGCAATGATGAAAATCTATTTCTGAACACATTTCTTAAGTATATGACATGCATTGTTTCTAATTTTGATAATTTAAATTCAGTTTTTGCAACATTGCATATATTGATAATTATTCATAAACATAAATTTTAGTATAGGTCTTGGTAAGCTTGTTGTTATTCTGGATTTTGCTCATTTACCATATAAGAAAATTGACTCTTTGATGTACCTTGAGAAGATGAAGACATCGGATATATATCATTTCAGTGTTAAGAATTAACAAGTATTCCGTTAGTATCATGTATTTCTTTAAGACATTTTAAAGATAGTTTTTTCTTTGAATTTTATAGCTGAATTGCTGGGAGGTTTTGGGTTTTTTTTCGTTTTCTGTATTAGAAATCAGAATTTTGCTCTGTCCAAAGCAAAAGACTTTCTAGTAATGAGAAAACTGTGAAATTGCGAAAGTATAAGTGATGATAAAAACAAGGAGAATGAAAGTTGAGCATTTAATGGTAGGTGGAAATTTTATTTAGACTGTTCATTTTGAGAAGTTTGCATATAATTTCAGATATAACCGAGACTAAATAGAATAAGCCTTTTAAAAAATTAATTCTCAAGTAGTTCCAGTTAAGAGAAGTGGTTTTGGCTATGCTGTGCGTGCATCTGTAAGGATGGTTCTCCAAGAGTCATCCTGCAGCCAGCTGTAGAACAAACATCCTTCTGGTACTTTCATGAAGGGAACTCAAGCTGTGTTGTGCACTGCTGGTGTCAGACGGATTTGGCCTGGATGATCCTTTCCCATCTTTCCAGCAACACTATGTGACTTGATCAGGAAGGCAGTTTTGCAAGACAAGAATTGAAGTTTTAGGAATCAGTGTGAGGAGATACCAAACCTTCAGAGTAGTTGTGACCTCCAGCTCACATGCCATGTAGATCCAGCCTTTCTGAAATCCTCAGGAAAAATTAGGAAGTATCAAACATTACATTCCTGATGGCTGTAAGGCTACATAAATGACAAAACTCACTGCAAACCACTGAGCTGAGTCAGTTATTCTAATTTGCTATTGAATTGTTGTTAATTATTACTGCTGTAGACCAGCTGGCAATGGAATATGATGTCTTCATTAAAATATATGAAATTATAAAAGTGTATTTTCAGGAGAATTTCAAAAAATAGTGACAAAATATGCATTTTTCAAATTCCTAAGGGAAGATATTCTGTATAGGTTTATATATTAATCTAATTAACAATATTCTAGATTAATTCTCCAGAAGGATAACGGCAACTGTTAAGCCACAATGCTGCCATTCAGCATGTAGAGTATAAAGGTTTTTTAAAATATTGTTGTGGCTTTCATTCTTTATTTTATTGCATCTTAGATTGTTGATATTATGTCTAAAAAAATGCACATTTCATTGAAGTGTATGGATTAAATCAACGGAAGGGGAAATGACAAATACAGCTTTCTCAGCAGACAGTGCCTTAATGCTTTTGGTTTATATATTTGACTGCATGTCTCCATCTTCACTGCATGTGACCATCTCTCTGTTTCTGCTCATTCTATCCAAATACACATCCATGTTTCCAAATTTTGTGAAGAACACGGACGTTGGAGTCTTGCATTCCAAAACAGGACAGTGTAGACCACCTAAGTGCTAAACCTGGAGCAGCACAGAGGTATCCTTATTTACTCAAATCATAGTTCCAAGTAAATGAGCTATTGGTTATAGTATATTCTTCATATAGTATATTCTTCATATGCTCTGCATAATACTTTCCCATATTTAGTTTTTTTTCTCTTTTTATATTTAAGTATGTATATGCGTGTATATAGATAATATTTAATCCACTGCAAAGGAGATAAATTTGAGTATGACATGAGTGTTCTAATCCCTAGTGCACTCTTCATACATTGTATATGGGCATGAAAAATGCCTACTTGTAAATATGTACATGCCAATGCCCACTGTGTGCTCAAGCTAAGCTAGGACTCTGAGCACTTTAGCAGGCTGTTGAGCTATAATGAATTGTGTACAGCATCCTCTTAGCAAGAGGAAGGAAACAGAAAGGAAATTGTGATTGTGAACAACAGCACAGACAGCAGAGAAATAAGTATAATCTCACTAGTGCTTTGTCACTTTTCATAGGAAAGCATGTCCTACTCTTAGCTTTTCCATCCTACGCAGAATCATAAAATGGGTTGGGTTGGAAGGAACCTTAAAGATCATCTATTTCCAATCCCCTGCCATGGGGAGTTGCTACTTGACCAGATTGCTCAAAACCCCATCCAACCTGGCCTTGGGTGACTACTACAAAGTGTAGCCACTATGCGCTCTTTTTCTCCATTGCATATATCATAGTCTACGCAAGTGATGTAAGGAGTAAGATGAAAATAACCCCTATAACCAACCAAATAGAAAATAAAGAGGGCAACATCATTTGAGTGATAATGCTGCTGCATTCAGTGGATCTAACCGTAACTGTAAATATTTTGCTAACCTTAGATTTTCAGTAAAGCTGCAACATTTGTTACGTGTTTCCTTGTGGGTAAAGAGAAAAAAAATAAAAAATAATGAGCATCTACAAAAAAATAGTTTAGGGACAAAGAGGATTTTAATTTTTAATCTGAGATAGTTGTTTTTTTTTTTTGGGGGGGGGTGGGAGTGTAAGAAGAATGTATTATTTTAAAACCCAGAAAGCATCAGGTTATGACCTCTGCTCATGGGAAAGCATTTTGTATTTTGCTGCAGTATTGTCTTTGTTGTGGAGCATATTGCATCACAATATAATGCTCATCAAATATCGCAGTGTATACAAAACATGAAAATCCACTGTGATTATATTCTTTGGATATAATTTGGTGTTACAGCTGTTCAGCTTTCTTCTAGTTCAGACACTGGATTACTCTTTGTAACCACAAAGTTTTAAAAGGAAGTATATTTTTTTAATGTATCATTTGTGTCTATTTGTTTTCCCGAAGTAATTCTATTTTAGCTTAATCTATGAAGTTGATTATATCATAACAAGTTCCTATATATGTTTCTTGCACCAGTGTAAGATGCAAGTAAGAGTTTGTCAACATTTCTGGTCTATCAATGAATAATTGTAACTCCCTGTTTTTGACCACTCTTGAAATACTTCATGCACTTTTTATTCTAAGAAAATAATACATACTGATGTTTATCAGAGGTTTAAAATTGTAAATCCTAATTTGTAACTAACTGCTCACATTAATATGGATAGTAAAGGCAATTTTGGAAAGCACAAGACTTGCAGAGCTTTTCGTGGTGTATTTGTAGTCCTTGGTCATAATGGTGAAATATGCTTTATCTTTGTTCTTACATTTATTGAATCATATTACTGTTGTTGTTCTTATTTACTATCAAAGTAAATGCTTAGATTTTCAGGACTAAGTAGTGCCTCGCTATCCAAATGTCAGATTAATTCTATGAAAGATTCATGTGGGAAAGTAATGAAGGAATGAAATAAACTTCTAACTTACACTGACTAGAAAAAATAGAGTTGGTTTCTAAAATAACTCTAACAAGTTTTAATGCAATGAGATTTTTGGAAAGCTGGGGTTTTAGTAACACAGTGGCAGCATTATTTAAATCTGATATGATGCAGTATTTGTTTTGGTTTTGAAATTGAGATTTAAAAGCAATTTTTAAATTTTTTGTTTGAATAGTATTTTCTGGTCCTTTCTTCAACATTTTTTTTCCCTGCTGTCTACTCTGCATTTTCATGCTGTTAAGAGATGATTAAAAGGCCTATGAGGAGGTGTTGTTTCTAATCAAATACAGACTGCGAAGTGGCAACTAACTGCAGGTTCAATCAGGGTTAATGTCATCTCCCCTGTTTTGTTACCTCATAACTTGCACACTATTAGCCTCAGTCAAACCTAATCAATTCAATGTTTCTTAAACCTCCACTTCACCAGCCTGTTCATGACAATAGTTGTCATTTTTTTCATCTGTCAACCATTTCTGTTATTAACTTTATACTACATTAATGAATAATCTTCATATTTCTGTATTCTTTTTCTTCTTTGTTTATTTCTTTTCTGACATGTCATTTCACAGGCAGTCCAGAAAAGTGGAAAGATATAGCAGCCAAAAACAAACTAGGAAAGGCTCCGCAACTGAAACAGAAAGGTAGGATTGCTTATCTATGAGTAAACATCTCTTATAATTAATCTGATTCCAGTTTTTGGAATATACCTCTAGTATAACTTTTAAAGTAGAACATCTGTTGCAAAAGCTACATTGTTTTAATTTAAAGTATTATTTACTTTGCATCTATATTGTTATCACTGCTTGCTGTGTTACATATACAGAGAATTTTTCCAGCATTCTCCATCATTGCAGATGAACTCGGTGGTAAAAACTAGCAGTCAATCCATTTGATGAGCCAAAATCTGAGACCCATTGCCACTACCTTGATCTCTGTAAGATGAAATTTGGAAATTTACAGTGTATTTCATTAGTATGGACTAAACATTTTCTGTGCTTTACCTCTGAGCTTTATTCAAATAAATCTCATCTATTTTACAATAACTTTGGGTGTGAATAAAAATATATCAACAGATTAATAATTCAAGATGTCAAATTAATTTCACTTCATTTTTAAGTCACACATTTAAATATGTATACAGTTAATATAAACACCAGGACTTTAACCTTTGTAATTATTGAATTTTCCTGTATTAGTATTATCATTGTAACTTTTAGCTTTGATGCTACAGTAATATAGGATTGTGTGTTCAAAGTCTTAAGAAAAAGAGAAAAAAATAAACATATATATACTAAATCGTAAGTACATCTAGTTAAGTTTTTAAGGTTGAAACAAAAGCAGTGAGGAGGGGTGAGATCCTACCTTTGTCAGAAACAGATTTCTGTTACCTTGATTACCAGAGGAGGATTGTACATCATTTTATATTCTGGGAGTTGAAAAACTTCCATGAACAACACAGACACGTTTTTATGTTCAGTGAGAATGCACATTATGTAGCAAAACTTCAGAGCTTTTATTTTATTTTACTGTGTTCTTAATCCAAAAGCAATGGTTACAATTTTCTTGGTTTTGATGATTCTGTCATCACAGTAGCGCAGCTGCTTTTTCAGTTTAGACCAGAGAAATCACCTAAATGTTGACTGAAATCCTTGCTGTGTTTAAACCAGGGAGAGTTTTGCCATTGAGATCACTAAAGCCATTTTTTCCCTGGGTTTTTTTTTTTTTGTTTATTTGTTTGCTTTTTCTAACTTCTGAAGATTAAGGGGAGCCCCTGGGACTGCAGTCCAAGGGGCTCACAGTTTTTGATAACTATTCAGCAGTGAACCCAGTGGAACAAGACCATAGGGAAACCTGATTGTGCCTTTTGTTTTTACATCTCCATGGCACATGGTGTAGGTTTCTGTTTCCATAAAATGATTCATTGCTATTAGATGTGAGACACAAATGTCTACATAAGTCTGAGTGCTGTAGTTTAGTATTTTGTCATAGATGCAGTGTTGCACTAGTGCCAGAAAGTTTCAGTAACAGGACAGGCAATTAATTTTCTTGTCAAATGGCAAATATAACTTCAGACTATTTCTTCATCAAATACCCACTTCTGTCTTAGATTTAGTCTTTATTTTGTCATATGTTATGATACATAGAGTCTTTAATTGTACTTACTATGTTTTACATAGGACCCTGTGTGAGGGGTGGACTGGATTGGCAATGCTCTTTTATTCTTGGTTTTTCTTTATAGTTCCGTAAGCAACAGCATGTTTCATTTAGTATGTGCCACTGAGGCATCAGTCTGAAGAGAAAGAATTTGAGTTTTCTTGTGTGTAGGCAGAGCTGGAACCTCTAGAATTCCCCTGTAGGCTCTTGCCAATTGAATTAATAGGTTTGCTGCTTGCAGTGTTACCTTCCTCTGTAAGGAACCAGAAGATGAGGTACACATGTATGTGCACTACAATCTCATTGCTCACCAGGTATCATTTCTCTCCCAAATTTCTCTTCTCTCCATGCTTCTTACCTCACTTAAGTCTCATTTCCTCAGCTGTACACTAGCTTTTGTCTCACATACTTGTTCATTTTTGTCTCATCCTCTTGCTCAGCCATTTGCAGACTTCTTCCTTTCAACAACTGACCTTTCTCCTAGGTCAGCAAGTCCTTAATTCCATTGTAGCTTTAATCCAGTTCCCTCGTAGCCCTATTTTCATTTGCACACGAAGTAACATATTTGTCTCAGTGTAATCCAGCCAATGTACATCATAAGCCTGGTTTGCCTTCCTTTTAGTTAAGCAGATCCTCTATCTTTGTCTCAAGGAGAAGGACAGGTCTGTAAAAGGGGTATTATTGAAAAAGCAGGAGGTAAGTTTCTCAGTCTCAGGTAAAATGTCCATTTGGTAATGGCAGGGCCAACTTTCCTAGCTCTCTCAGATAAATTCTAGGATATTTGGCCTCTTAAATGAGAAAAATCAGAGTTGAGAACATGACACTGTTAGTTTGGAGCATTCATTCATGGTAAAAGCAAGTGAGCACTTTATGGCACATAGCTGGATCCATATTTACCTTATGGATGTTATGATGTTTAAACATCTGTTAAAACGCATGCTTAAAAGCTGGTTGTAGCAATAGTTGGCATGGATTACTTTTACAGTCAGCGTGGAGAAAGAGGAATTTCAGAACTCAGCTCATCTTCATTATCATAAGCAGGGGAATCAGTTTCTGCAAGAATGTTACAGGGCAAGCCAGGAATTAAGCTAAGTGTTTAGGTTTAAGAGAGAGAAGATGGCAAGGGCAACAGCATCTTGGTTTTGTTGCATTGCGACTGCACTTCCATATAAACAGTTACTGATGAAATGGCTTTGAAACTGAACCTGTTTGTTATCCTTGGTAGGTACATGCATGTTCTCTCTTATATACATTTTTTTTAGGATGACTTTTCAGTATATGATAGTCATATGATCTAGACAGTCCCTTGGTTACTTTGATTGTATCTTGTGAGAAAGCAGTGCTGGGTGTGTGAAGAGAGATCTCATAAGTCTGCAGAAATTAAAACAAACAAACAAAACCACAATGAAATATCATGTGAAATTGAAATTTCTGAAATAACAGGAGGTGCAGTAAGTAGCATTTACAAAATACTGCACTGTTAGAATACTTTGTCACTCTTCAAACTTGAAGTGTTTCAGGTTATCTTATACTTGCAGTGTATGCAATTATTAAACTACTAATAATTATGATTAATCATACTAACATTATCATTTTACTGCATATTTTAATTATATTTTCATTAGAATTAGAATTGTATTTATGTTTTAGGACTTACAGCAGAAAGATACATAAATAGATCCCTTATTTCAAACTTAAGGGAATTATATATGTCCTTGCATGTCCTTTTGTTGGACACTAATTGAAATCCAGTTAATATTTTTTGCAAAGATAAAAGGTATGTTTTAGATACAGAAATGCTGTGTGGTAAATATTTATAGCCCACTCTGTGTTAGTACTTATGTCATATGTGTTGCTAGTCTGTGTTTGTTATGTTTAAGATGCAGCTAGAGTTTTTGGCCAACTCTCCAAAGTTCAACAGTTCCATGATTAGGGTTGTGTATCTGCAGTGGTGAGTGTTCTGCAGTTCATAATTTTGAAAATTGATTTGCATTCAGAATTAAAAATTTCAATCTGAAGTGTCAACCCTGGTCCTGCAGCTAGGATTTGTAATGTTCTTGGATGGAGGGGGGCATGGGAAGTCTGCCTGGAGCTAACAACTGAACAGTTTCTTTTTGGCCCTAATGTTTTAGGGGTCTGCTACCATGTGTTTCTAGAAGGGGACTTCCAACCCCACGAACAACTGAACAGCCAGTCATTAGGGGAAAACATCACGCTCGCTCAAGGTCGAGTGAGCACTCTAGTATCAGACCCTTATGCTCTGTACATCACCTAGCGCCCGGAGGGTCGGCGCCACCTTCTCCACTTCTGACAAGGTTGCTATTACATGTACAGCACAGCTTTCATGTTCTACCTCCCAGGTGTCAGTGTGGTGTTGTACTTTCCTCAGCATACATGGTGCATTCATTCATTCTGGCACTGTAGATGATCCTCTTTTCATGGTATTTACACTTTTCCCATATCCTATATGCCACCTATCTTCACCATCCAGATGGTAATTCTTGCTGTTGAACTTCAATAGTTATGCAATGTAAGAGTAAAAAACTGGCTGTGTTTCGTCCTTCCATTGTTGTGTTTTGTTCTGTATCCATGCAAAATATATCAAAGTATTTTTCTTAAACAGAGTGCAGGAAATGACATGCTGTTCACACAACTAGCTCTGTTCTTACAGGCTAAGAGAAACTCAGTTCATCACCATAGCGTGAAAGCCAACAGTATTTTGCTCTTGCACAAATGTGTTACTTAAAATTTCAAATTATCTACTTGCAACCTTAGTGTAGTAGATGAACAGTTCTTACCCACTATAGTGAGTGTGATATTACTGTAACTGGCAAGGACATCTAATGGTAAACTCTCTCTCTCAGCAGTCTGCTTCTTCTAATCTTGGTTTTATTTTCTTAAACTTTCCCCTACTCGTTAGAGGTGGCCCTGCTTATTTTAAATGCAAACTTACCAGTGTTCCAAAAGTGTTTGATGTGTTGCACTCAGATGCTGTATCTGTGTATAGGAAATCGAGTAGCCAAGGTGTTCTGCAATACTGCTGGCTAAAATGCAGCCAAAGGGGTTTAGGATACGTAGGTATGAATATTAAAAATCTTGTACATTCTTTGTGCACACACACACATGCACCCTCACCCCAATACCAAGGTTAAAGGTCTTTTTCCTCCCTTTGAGTTCAGACTAAAACAACAGGTTATCCCATGGGAATAGGTACTTGCTGTCCAGATCTCTGTGGCCTTGGGCAATTATTGAAACAGCACAAAGTGAATACAAAAGTGAATAAAAAATAGAGGTGGTAATTTGTATTGCCCTGTTCCAGTGCAGGAGAATGTACATAAATTGTGAGTCATAAATGTTTTTTAGAAAACTGCTTTTTCGTCAGTGGATTTTGACCAGTACTTTATTTAAACAAAAAAAAAAAAAAAAAAAAACAAACCACAAAAAAACCCCAAAACCCAAAAATACCTCAAAAGAAAGGAAAATATTTCTCCTTATTTGAAGGTAATTAAATAAATTAAATGTGAGGCCTTATAAGTTAACTAGGTATCTAGAACTGAGTACGTGTATATGGCATACACCAAATGCAAACTTATTCAAACCCATCTTCAGTATATGCAACTTAATGTTTAAAATTCCGAATGGAAACATTGTCTTAATTGGGGTTATTTTACTTTTATCTTATTTTCATTTGCAGAATACATCAACAAGGAAGTCCCACACAGTCTCCTCCTGCAGACACATCCTTCAGCAGTCGCAGGGGAAGACAGCTACCGCAAGTTCCAGTAAGAAGTGGCAGTATAGAGCAAGGTATCAAATAATGAGCTTATAATACCTCAAACTCTTTGCTTTCTTACCTTTCTTCACGTAAAGTCTACTTTCATAACTATGCTTTCAATGCTATAATCCTACCAATAAAGCAATAGCAGAAAATGAAAATGTATTTGTAGTCTGGGAAATCCAGTAGAGTTTGACTGGTGAATTATTACACATGGTTTAATTGCCTTAATTTTCTAGTACCCTTTTTGTTTGTCTACTTTAAAATTTCTGTTAGAATTGTGGTATTTTCCAACACATACCTAGTTTGTATTCAGATACATCGGGCAAAAATTTTGACATTTTGTCAGTCTTGCTCAGTTTGTGGTTTAACTTAATTGTTGTGCATTACTAACATAGATTAATATCACAAATCTGGTTTTCTTATGGAGTTCGTAGTTCAGTGAGTAATGAATGAAAATATTCACCATAGGAAGTGTGAAAACACAAGTCATCGTCTCTTAAGAATAAACTGATCAGGCAAAGAGTGCTGCTCTTTTCTGAAAAAAACAAATATGCACATAATGGTTGTGGAAGATTTATTGCATACTAATATCTAAGTATGAATATTGAGGTTTTCTTTTCTAGCAGCACACTGCTAGAGCATGAGCTATTACGGTACAATGAAATGGCACAATGGATAAATATTTACACATTCAGGTTTTCTTCTGTGTTTAAAAAGCCTGTTTTCTCATTGACTATAAGCAAAAACTGAAACTGCTGTGTATTGCAAGGGTTTCCTCTATTTTGAAATTAAAGAACTGCTTCTAATGATGAAATATTGTAGTACTTCTAGAACTGTTGACAGACCATTTTCTTAAACAGATGATATTGCTGAACATGACCTTTTTATCATGATAGATTATCCATAAAGGTTGTTTTTGTATGATTGTTTACATTAACATGCAATCAGCTTACATTAATTTCATGGCTTTGAGCTGCGATGGCATACTAAACCTTCAATTAACACACATAAAAATGTATTCTTGTTTTATACATGTGTTTATTCTGAATGATTAATATACTAATACAAGTGGGTTGTATTTATTTCAAACTTTACATTCAAGTCTTCTCATTTTATAGTGAATCTAGGGTGGTCTGGATTATAAAAAAGTTACAAACTACATTTACAGCTTCTATTTCTGCATATTAGTAAGTTGGGAGCTTTATAGGGAAATACAATAAGTAATGAATTTCAAATTTTGTTCATGTTTCCTCTGCAGTTTCAGGACTTAGTACAATATAATGATGAATCAGCTTTTAATTTGAATTGGCTTTCATTTGAATATTCATCTGTCATCTTTCTGCTGTTCATGATAACTGGTGTGTTAAGAATAAAATACTGGTTTATCTTTAGTTAAAGACATTGGAAAAAATGGGAGGAGATTAAAAAATGAAAGTTGAGCAGAAGGATAAAGCTACTCAAGGTTTAGAAAGTAGTTGTTACCGTGAAAACCTGTATAGTAATGCTATTTCACTGAACTTCTTTACAATTAGTGGCTGATGTGCTTTGCGTCTTATGTATGAAATGTGCAAATAGGATGCGGCGTCTCATTTACTTCATTGTTACATCTCGTACTGCCTGTGTCAATATGGCTACATTATGGCACATGGAATCAAAGGGTGAAGAGATTCCTTCTCAGCATAGTACTTTGGTGTTGTCTAAGTGACTGGCTTGTGGTTTTGAAAGGAAAGTTTTCTGATTTCACCTGTGTTTAATACTTTGTTCAAGATGAGAGTATATTTGGAGAGAAATACATAATTAAATAGATTTTATAGAATATTTTTAGATGGTTTGGCAATATATTCAGAAATAAGTGACAGTATGCATAAACTTTATACTACTGTAAGAAACTAAATCCTGTGATAACCACAGTATTTGCTCTGATTTACAGTTTCAAATTTTAATATCAGTTTCACCTCCTTAATCCCTATCAAATGAGTATCAGGGTCAAATGGAGTGGCTAGAAGTGGTCTGAGCTAATACAGGATTGAATCTAAAGCATATTGAGGACTGTAAAAAATTTCCATTAAATGTACTTGGAACCGAATTGTGTCCTTGATGATTTAAATTCACAGGCACTGTGGATATAGATGATGTCAAAATCTAGTGCAACATACAAATGTTAGAGGGAGCATTTCAAAATGCTTTTTCTTCATTTATAAACAAAGCTACATTTTGGTGGTCAGAATTGACATCCTGTGTTTCAAGGAAATTTTGTATGATATCATTTTCTAAGGTATCATTTTTATAGCAAAGTACTACTTTTTCTCTATACAAATTCTGTTGCATCAGAAGGGTTGAATGCACATCCAAATAAATACATCCATGAATCTATGTCTGGTTTAGAAATAACAGTGATTGCTGTAAAAAGATCGAGTGTCTGTATATAAAGAGTGGGGGGGTTTATTTACTCTTTGTATATTCAGCAGGCACAGAAGAATCCATTCAAGTAATTTTATTACTCTTCAAAGCTCACATGATGGAACAAATGAGAGTTAATGAAGGAGCAAGAGACTGGTAGTGGTTTTCATCTCGAGAAGCAGAGTGATATTTAACTCCTAATCTTTCATCTTTAGCTCACACTAATAAGGCTTTTTGTAAGACTGACATGGCATCTCAGACATCCCGTTTTGTCATTGTCAAGTTTAGAACTGAAAAAATGGTTGTCTCTACCAGATGATGTCTTAGTTACTGCTCGGGTTGGCAGTTTGAGGATCATAAAAAGTCAACTTGTGAGGAAAATAAGGTAGTTTTAAAAGGTGCATATCAGTAGACACACTTTGTTAAATAAAACAAAACCAAACCAAACCCCAAACCAGCTTATAGAAGGAACTCTTACAGAGAAGACCAAAGCAGTGATCCCTATTCCATTACAGAATTTGGTTTAGTACCTTGTGGATATGCTCTGAAGAGAATAGCAGCTTTGTCTGGCTTCGAAGTGGGGAAGGGAGGTAGTTATTTTCACATGGAACATTTCTAACTAAATAATATTTTTAGCAACACCAGTACATGCAGACTTTTTAAAGTGGTTACGGTTACAGTTAAGATTGTAGGCTTCTGTAATCTTTAGTCAGTGTGATTTTGTTTTAATTCCAGTGATATTGAGAGAAGTCATGGCTGTGTTTCTTTGCAACTCTGGCAGCAGTACTTCTGAGAGTGCGAGACGTAGTGTGATGTTATTGTATCCAAAGGTCTTGAGACACTTGAATATTGAAAGTTATTCTGGTATAGGTGTGTCTGTGTGTATTTTCAAAAAGTCACAGTTCGGTAGTCATTACCCTAACATATGCTGCTTAAGAAGTGTTTTGGGTTTTGGTTTTGGTTCTTTTTTTGTTTTGTTTTGTTTTGTTTTGTTTTAGCTGATAATTTTATAAAAGGATCTAATAATATGAAGATGTTTTGACTTAGTGATTAAAGCAGTGAAACTCTAAGCCCTGGTAAGGACAATGGTGTGTTCTCAATGTCACCCTGTGCTGAGCTGCAAGAGATTTGCATCAGTGGAATTTTTTACTTGCATTGTGTTTGAGTGGAACTGTGCAAATCATTCAGAGGGGTGGGGATTCTGCGTTGACTTTGTTTTTTCAGTTGTTTAATAACTTTGCTATGTAGTTACATGGGTTTTAAATGCTACTTTTGTATAAAGCATATTTCTATGATCTTTGCTTAGTCTTTCCTCTTTCATTGCAACTATCAAACATCACAGAATTCAATAGGTTTTGAGAGTGGGTCTCTACAGTTTTGTATAATGGCTAATCATTGTGTTGATTGAGAAAATGAATACAGCCTGAAAATCTATAGCATTTTTCTACACTCCTTTTTAGCTGCAGTACAAATGCTAGGGATGATGTTAGGAAATCTAGCACGTAAATAATAAAAAAAACATATTATGTACTATTGGAATTTACGAACCAGTGAGATAAATGTGCAATGATTGTAGTATAGAAAAGATCTTTAAGAGCTAATTAATGCAAAACAGATCTTTCTCCCTATATCTGCTTCTGTTTGGCTCTTCACAGCATGATTTCTGTTTCATAACTTTGACAGTGTGGTTTCATGTTTCAGAAGTCCTATAATGAGAATAAGGTTTGTGATGATCAGCAGTCTATTTACATATAAAGAACATTTATAAACATAACTGAAGTAGTGTGGTTGTGTGTTTCCAGTGGCATCTGTTTACAGCAATAGGCCTTATGCAGTGACCTTTAGAAAAGCAAAAGTGTGACCAGAATTCAGTGTTGCTGTATCTTACTTAGTTCATGTTAGAAAAAGCTGCATAAGCTTTGTACAGAGCTTGTAGGCAGGGTGAATGTGTGCATGTGTGCTGCTGTTTGGGGATTACTTATATAAAGTTCATGCGTATAATACACATACAAGTCTTTCATGGTAGTCACATCCTAGAAGAATGAAGTATTTTAATGTTCAGTGTTTCATTTTAACAAATAATAATCAGAATTTTCTACAGAAAATCAGTATGTTGTCAAATAATACATTTGGGATGCAAATGCATTTTTATATTTAAGCAACTTAAGATCCTGAAAAAAATCAGTAGCTAGTCAAAATCATTCTGTCTATATGTACTTGACCTTTGAAAAGTCATTGCAGTGAGAGTATTGCTTGAGTTATGGTAAAAGATCAAACCCTTTCAGTTAAAACTATTTTTCTGATCCATCAGTATAAAACTTGACTGGCAGAAGAAAAAGAAGTCATTTCAATTTTAGATTTTAGACATTTAGCACTGTTTGTTTTGTCTTCATATTTCTGGTTTTAGTTTAAATTATTAGGTGGCACTGCATATTTTGAGGCAGCTTGTGGAATCTTTTCTCACGCTGGAGAGTATTTTTTCTCAGCATTGCTAACTCTTGCAAATGAGTGCAAACTTCATAATCTTTTATGCTTTCCTTAAAGACTGATTTTCAGTAGTGCAATGGTTATTGAGTATTATAGATTTTAGTTAATAGAAAATGAATTTGTTTTACACTCATTATTGCAG